GTTGGGGTGCATTTTTAAATAAAATGGAGAGCTAGATCACAGATAACGTTCTGTGCAAGCTTCAAAGCTTATCCGACCTGTATGATGTCTAAAACAGAATAAGTGTGGTTCTTAAGCAAAGTGTTGCTAGAAAAACTGGAATTAGGCCCATAGCTTTAAGAGGCCCACTCCCCCGGTCGATAGTCTCCATGCTCCAGTAGACTTCAGATTGTTCCCTAAGTTTGAGGGAAATGAAGGAATGAAATTGACTAAGGACTGGGGAGGGAAAGAGGGCAGCCCTGGGCCTTTGCTGCCCTGCCCTCGTTAAAGGAGAAGAATAATTAATAAGCATTTCCACAGGTCGGCATCAAATGAATCATGTCGGTTTTTGACCGCCCATGGAGATTGGACAAGCTAGAGAAAGGCTGTCTTGAAGTCCCATTAAATGGCCATGGGGCAACAAAACGGACTGGCGCTTCTCCAGAGTTGCACTATTCCTTTAAGGTTATTGATACACTAAATAATGTTTGGAACACTCGCAATGGGGAGCTTGCATGTGTCACCATTCCTCAATCAGCCAACGCAATGCCATTCCTTCGTCATTTTTAGCAACGCCAAATAAAGTTCTTGTAATATAAAAAGAATTATATATGTGTTTCCAGTCCCCTTGTTTTGTTTTTGATCCCATTGGGGTAAAAATTCCAACCTGGCGCGATTGAATGTATCGTTTTGCAATGTTTATCTATTACTGCAGCCTTTAAGGGCTTACTTCCCTAGAGAGATTTCCAGGCACATAAGAAAAATAATGCTGACCAGATTTTTCCAGTGTGGAGGAAAATGACCCACATGGAGGGTTTGCGAGGGACAGCATGCTTACATGTCGCGAACATACCCAACACAGTAGCCGTAGCTCCTTACAAGCAGTCCCTCAGACCACTATTAACAGACAGGAGCCAGCCCGAGCAAACATACCTTTACTCCTCTCAGAAGCGGCACTGATAGAGATCGCTTGGATATCACACAGTGGAGGAACAGGCAAGAGGGATATGAAGGTAAACCACCACTGTGTTTCCAGAGGTTCCTAAACCTCTTGACCACTGTGTCACACCAGCATAGTGACTCAGGTCGGACCAAGTTAACGACTACTTGTGCCGTGTAGGTCCCTGTTGTTCAGTCTATAGGTCGCCGTCCGTGTTTGATGCCTTAGAAAAGTACAAGAACTGTCGAGTGCGAATATCGCTTCGTGCTTATGTTGACAGTGCTAGACAGCCCTTGAGAAGCCTTCACTGCGGCTTTACCTTGACCGCTGTGTTTACTCGCATAGCCATTGCAATACAGAGGAGGGAGGGCACGAGGGTTTCGTCGGCCGAGGAAGATCACGGTGAGTTTCCACCCTCATCCTCAGACTGCGTTGCAATCCAGCGATCGCACGATGCGAGTATACAGCTTCCTGAGCGTGCTAAGCGTGTCACTATCGGAGTGCGATGCGAACAGAGGCGCATCCGACCGCTCGAGTAAGGCAGTGCGGCGTCGTCAGTCCGGGGCGTCTACTCGCATCAATGTACAAACGCCGGCTCGGAGACATACAACTACAACATCATGACTGATATTTAACCGTGAATTAAATTGAATAACACGTTTCCAAAATGATGCCGAAGTAACAACCATACTGATACGGTTAGTAAAAACCATGAAATTAATGCTTTGACCAAGTCTGCAGAAAACCAAGAGGGCAGGGGGAACCTTTCTTCAAATGCTTGGTTTCTGAAATGGAATGATTGGGTCGACCAAGGTTAAGCTTAACACGTTGGTAATAATGCCTCATTCCCACACTCCATAACAACGGCCTACAGACATAAATAAACCAGCCGTCTGTATTCGCCATGACACAGACAGTCTGTGGTTTGTACTTGTTTAACTTTTGTCCAGTTTCTGAACAGATATGAGGAGCTGTGATCTCTGTGTGCTAACTGCTAACAGCTAACAGCTGATGTTTTCTGGTTGAACGCCAGTGACGGCAGGCTGAGATCCTCACCGCTGATTGGCTTCCGCGAGAACGCGTCACGTGAATTTGACGCTCGAGTTGAAAAAAT